GCAAATCTTTGCAGGCGCCGACAGCTTCATCTTTCTCCTACAAAGAAAGCACTCAGTGGATTTGAACTGCCAGCCCTACAGTTAACATCCAGGGTTTATCCCAAGCACCCCCAGGGTTCCTTTATATGTGTGTACATAGACATGCATATAGTAAAGATGTAAACTGTGCAAATAGTATGATTAGTGCAAGGTTTAAATGGAAAACACACCCATTCCTTTATCCCCCCCTCACCCTGCATTATGAGGCAATACAGTATACAAAACACTATTACAAAAATACAGCAATTAATAAGGCACCATCCTGGCCCTCAAAGGGACTGTCAGCCTAATGGATTGAAGAATCTTAAATGAGACATGCAAATGAGATTGCATGTGTGGGAACAGTCAGTAGGGAGCTGTGATGGAGACAGAATGACCCTAAACCAAGGAACCCAGGTGACTGTCATTAGCTCCCTCCCCACAGCCACCTCACCTCCTAGCTAACCACATGGCCTTAAGCAAGTAAGCTAAGATCTCTTTGCCAAACTTAAGTATTTATCAAATCAATGTGGCCATTCTTCCTGGCTAATGAGCTTTGAAACTCAAATGCCAAAATACGTGAGAAGGCACCGTATGTCTTAGGCAGACCAGAAGTGTGAGATTCATTGTCACTGTGACTATTATTAGCGTTGACTCAAGGAGAACCATTTTTGCAAAGTTCAAGAGCAGAGGGCTCATCAAATGGGAGTTGAGATTTGACCCATGGGTCCTTTTGTTTGACTTACACTATATTTTAAAATAAGATACTATGTTTTAAAATAGCCAGTATTAAAAATCAGAAGAGTTTACATAAATAAGAATTCCTTTGCTTTAAACTGAAGAGCGGTTCACCACGGGCCTGCATTCCCACATGGCAGCTGCCTTTGTGGAAGAGCTGCTGGCCTGAGTGTGTGCTCTCCACTTTGCCACAAGCCGCACCATTCCATTTTGTAGCACCAATATAACTGAACCTTATTTCAGTTATCTCTCTTAGACGACAACCTACTTTCAGATCCCATGTCTCATCACATGTGAGTGGGGGAAGCTATTCCAAGAAGGTCATCAGCCATTTGTTATACCTGACTTGTTCCCCTGAGGCACTAGCCTTTGCAGTCTCAATTCAAGAGCTGTAAAACATCTAAACCGAAACAGGCCAGTCAAAAGCAGTTGCTGTGTAGTCGATTTCAAGGGGCTTATGGTGATCCGGTGTGTGTCAGGGGGCTAGAGTCGGGCTTCCTGGGGTTTTCATCGCCAGGCCTTCCTGTCGAGGGGCCTATCAAACAAAACAAACCCGTTGGCATTGGGTCTACTCCGACTACCCCATAGGACGGGAGAACTGCCCCTGTGGGTTTCCAATGCTAACTCCTTATGGGAGTAGAAAGCCTCATCTTTCTCGGGGTGGACTGAAACCTCAGTTTGCAGCCTAGCGGATTACTGTAATCTTTGCATCACCTGGATTCAAAGTTCATCCAGGCTCCTTGTGTTTGAGGCCCAGAGAAGTTCAGATGTCTTCTGTGGTAGTCTGGGTAGACTAGAGAAACGAATTCACAGAAACTCATATGTGTATAAGAGAGAGTTTTATAAAAAGGGTACATTAAGAAAGCATCCCAGTCCAGTCCAAGCCCATAGGTCCGATATTAACCCATATGTCTGAGTTCCATTGTCCTGTTCTTTTTTCTTTTTTTAAGCATTTTATTGGGGGCTCATGCAACTCTAATAATAATCCATCCATCCATCCATTGTGTCAAGAACTTTTGTACATTTGTTTCCCTCATCATTTTCAAAACATTTGTTTTCTACTTGAGCCCTTGGTATCAGATCCTCATTTTCCTCCTCCTTCCCCGCTCCGCACTACACCATGAACCCTTGAAAATTATAAATTATTATTTTGTCATATCTTCGCCCACTTCTCCGCTGTCTGTCCCCCAGGGAGGAGGTTATATGTAGATCCTTGTAATCTGTTCCCCCTTTCTCCCTCACCTTCCCTCCACCCTCCCAGTATCGCCACTCTCACCACTGGTCCTGAGGGGTTCATCTGTCTGGATTCCCTGTGTTTCCAGTTCCTATCTCTAACGCCTTCTCCTCCCCTCCTGTGGTTAGTAGGTGCCCCAGGAGTGAGGTCATTAGGGCCAGGTCTAACATTCTGTTGGTACTGCAGTCATGTTACCATTTTCTTACAAATCTGTGCCATGAAGTAGAACTTGTTTACTTATAGAAACCATGGGATTGTGTTCTTGCCAAGGGGAGTGTCGAGCCAAAAATCCTGCCTAGATCCAGCAAGTATGAGTCAGTCAACGCAGGCACACAATGAATCTTTCATTGACATGGGTGAGCCCTTTAATAGACGATGAGCCCTTGCGTCAGTTAGGACACTGAATGGAAGAAAATAGAGAACTTAAAAAGCTTGAGAACTTAAAGGCACTTGATAGAACACGGTGTCTGGTGGCTGTCACCAGTTCTGTGCCATTCTCTGGGACCCAGCCCCTTTGCTTTCTGCTCCCCCACCCTCCACAGATTCACTTGGCCCACATGCATGTCCCCCTCTTGGGACATGGCTGCCACCATTCTGGGAAACGTGAAGGCCGGACACTGCAGGATGTGGGTCATTTCCTGCATTATCTCTCTTGGTGAGAGAGAACGCCTCCAGCAAGCGTCCCCGTGAAGTCACATTACCCAGGAGCCCATGACAGTAAGCGCTGCACTTTGGCCTTCTGTAGCAGGAGGCTCTGAGGGTGAGTGGGCCGCACAGGGGTGTCTGTCTACACCCAGGTCCAAGTCCCGTTGAGTGTCTCTACAATAGCATATTTGACATCAGATCCTAACTTCAGTGAATTAAAAAAAGAATTTCATTAATGCTAGGTGTTAAAGTTTACATTTTAGGATGACGTTCCTGAAATTTACAAAGGCATTTGGAATGCTTTGATTGGTGCAGGTTTGCTGTATCTTCTCGAGCTGTC